AAGAGGTAAAACATAAACTATCACTGTGCCTACTGCTTCCACAAAGTCAGGTCAAGTCCATGTGCTACACTCCCTGCGTGAATACACACAGGCTAATGCTTTAAAAGGGTAAAACTCATCTCACAGAGGTCAAAGACATGATATGTATATGGGAGTTTACTAACTGACAATTTCTTAAAGGACAACGTCGACACAGCACCAGCAGCCTAAACAGTTTATGAATAAACTAAACTGGAAACTGGAAAATTTCCAACCTTCCAACCATAAAAAGTTTTCAGATAAACCTGGTGACAGAAAAAAAAAAAAAAAAACCAAAAAAAACCCAAACAAACCAACCAAAACCCAAACCAAACCAAAACTAAAAAAAAAGTTTCAAGAACCCAAAGGTTCTCAATTGTATTAATCAAATTCCGTGTAGAACAGCGGTTTTACACAAAGTTAGCATGACCTAAAACTATATACCATTTAGAAACTATAAAAAAAGGATTGACAACACTTAAAGCACCTGTATGTTGTGTAAGCATAAGAAAAAACAGGACTGTTTAAGTACATTTTATGATATATAAATATCAGTAAACAAACAACAAAACACATTTGGATTGGGACTAAGTTTGGCTTGTAAGTGAACAGCTCAAGTTCTAGCAATTTGTTTGACGAGATGAGCCAATATCTGGCTGAATTTTGAATGCTAAGTGAAATCTAACAGATAAAAATAACTCCATGCAATCAGACAAGACAAGGATCATATCTTTTCACACACAGCCATGCTGAGTTTTGATTACTAAAAGAACAGTTCAGCTGGTTGCCCCTGTTTGTTCAAGCACTTCAAAACACTGTGAAAGACACAACACTATAGACACAGAAAGAATGACTGAGCTTTCAGAAGTTCCACAGTTTTGGGATCTACTCACTCTACAAACCCACTATCCCATCTTTTAAGCCTTCAAAAATAAATAAAGCACTCAAATCTGAAAATTATGTAATGTGTCTTTCCACATGCAATTACAGAAATTTAATGGTGCGGGAGTAATCTTCCTTCTTATTACTAAATAACACTCTTAATTTTCAAACTGTTCCCATGAAGTTGCACATATTTTGCAGAATTTTAGCATTTCAGTAAGGACTTGCTTAACAAATAAAAACAAATAAATCTGTAGAATATAATAGTGTCAGGCTGCAATGGATGAAACTTAGTCCTGGTGGATGTGACAAGAATTCCTTGGGTCAAAATAACAGCAGTAATTATATTTTCTTTGAGGTAAGAAAGATGAAAAAGCCACAGCCAAAACCCCTGAGAATAGTTTCCTGGCAGATTTGCAAATAAGATGAATGATTTAGTCAAGTATCATTTCATATAAGTGGTGTGCCTTATTAATCACATTTTCTGGCAGAAATTATCTAAATGATGGGTAAAACTTCATATCAAAGGGGCAGTCTGCTACATATTTTGACTAAAAATTGAAAACAATGAACATACACAACAGACTCACCGATGGAGCATCCAAAATCATTTCTTCCACAGTTGTTAAATCTAAACCTAGCCTGACACTGAGAACTTCAAATATGTAGTTATATGAAGCATCAACTTTTGTTCTTCGATATTCTCTTGCTTCTTTGTATCGAGCCTAAAACATTAAACATGTCTTTCAAACTAAAAATATACAAAGCAATCGCAAAAATGACCTGCTACTTAATTTGCAACTAATGTTGAAATCTACTGTGTTGTATAAAACTACATAACTCTTTCAAAATATCTAAATTTTCAGAGATTAAGAGAAGAACAAATTGTTAAGAATTATTATAAAATGTAAGGTCAGCTCTGAGGAGATGTCAAGGAAAAGCAAATATTAAATATACTAAAGCTAGATTGTCATATGTGGCCATATGAACCAGGTTTTTTTCACAATCAGTATTTCAATTATTGTATTAATACATAAAGGTCACAACATCAATTTAAAACTGAAGTATCTAGACTGGGGAAAGGTTTGCAGGAACCAAGCTGGGTACAGCTTTGCTTCAATGTAAATTATTCAGTTAATATCTCCTGCTTCCTTCCTCCATTACTTTAAAAAAAAATCTTAAAATACTGCAATCATGACTCACTCACTTCCTGCCAGGAATAATTTAGTTAAAAAATGGACTATAAACAAAGAGGAAAGAAAAAAAAAAAAGGAAAAGAACCAGAAATCTATGTCAAGACCTGAAGTTGAATACTAAACCTGTTTTTCTTTCCAAACTTCTTGGAAGGACAGAACTCCACTAGTGCTCCGGCAAAACCTAGACAACCTTTGGCTTGCAAGAGAAAAAGAATCTTGGGAAGAAGAAAAGCTTGCTATTTGTAGGTTATGGCGAATGGATCTGGCTACAGCATCTTCTGGTGTAACAAGAGCAGGCACAGAAATCTCTGTAGCAAGATTATGCCCAGCACTATTTGTGATAGCAAGACTGGGCCCAGCATCTTCTCCAGTGTTTAAACTGTCTTTATTAATCTTTTGTACCCTCTCCATTCTGACATCTGAAATTTCTGGGGGAAAAAAAAAAAAAAGCATTTATAATAATTCAAATTTTTCAAGTCTTCATTTTCAAGAAGATAGGAAGGAAGAGCAAGGTAGGGAATAAAAAAAAAGTGAGAGCAACCCAAATCTGACTTCCCAGGTATACAAATTTAATAGTCTCATCAAGTTCTCTTCAAGTTCTTAAGATAACAGACATTTATATACATTTTAAAAAAGGTTACAAATGTTAAGTTAAAGATGATTACAGGAAGTTGTTTTTTTTTTTAATTTACCATACACTTACATGTTGTGAAAATCTTTCTATAACAAATAAAATTTTTAAATATTAATACTTCCACTGAATATCTGATTACTTAGAAATAGAAATAGTTTAGAATATAAATTATTTGTTTAAATTTTAGTTTGCAAAATATATACACATATTCAGCAACTGAGCTTACAAAAAGACTTGCATATATTTCCATAACAAGTCTTATGGCATTGCTTACATAAGCATCTAAATCCTCTGTCTCCATATTTTCCTATGGAGTGTACTCATCCACTTGCATTTGCTGTCTACCATCAAACCCATTTGGTAGATCTTAACACTCAAGTATATATTGAGAAAATTAAATGTTTTATTCAGTCTGCTCAAATCCACACATGGATTGAGCAACTAGCTTTAAGGCACCGTAATAATCAGTAGAGCTAAACCTAAAATCCTTTCCTTGTGTCTCATTTTTCCTCTACAAGTAGCTTGTTCAGCTTTACAGGGACATTATAATGGAGAAGTATTTTAGAAAACAAATGTGAACATATGTCATTAAGGTCATACCCAGAATAATAAAAGCATAGAAATTGCTATTGTACTGAAATTATCATTTTATGGTAACAATACCATAAGGATTAAAATAACTATCAAAAACTACCCAGCAGTTCTTGTAAGTCCTTAGAGCAACCAACTGCACTTGTAACTGTGTGGTGTACTCTGTTAAACACTGTTGCCCAATTCAGAAAATATAAAATCAAAAGCAAGTTTGACAAGAAAGCAACACCTGGTGCTACATTACTAAACTCCATCCTTTTGCCCATGATTAGCAAAGTGGCCACAGTTTTATGGACTTTGGCACACAATCACCTATTATAGAAAATGTTCTTCCCTTTCTTAAAGTAAAAATACTAAGGAAAAACAAGTCACACCAAAAAAAAAAAATATATATATAAAGCCTACATTAATTAATTCCTTTCTTTTCCTTCATGCTTATCTGACTGGGCTGGTCATCTATAAAGTCAGGAGTGGTACTTTTTTCCTGGACACTCAGGTGGAAGGGGTTGGATGTTAATTTCTTTGTCTTTTATCTGGTCCTCCTGAAGCTGGCTAGAGACCTTGACACTTCCCCCTAAAGCTTGAGAGAGGTGGGGTTCTCACATCTCTCTTTAGAGACAGAATCTGTTGATACTGGCATTCCTCCCTGTTACTCTGAACGCCTGTCTGGTGGCTCATCTGAGACATTCACACTTTTCAAAAACCAGCATGAACTCCAGCTAGCTGCCTACCTAGTTATAACAACTGATGTGCTTTTATAATAAAACTTCCTTTCCTTCCCCCCTCCAGGGTGCTCTAAGCTACGGGACCTGTTAAGGCAAAGAAGAGGAGAAAAAAAAAAAAAAAAAAAAAAAAAAAAAAAAAAAA